CTTGAGGTCAGCCACGTCTCTGTAGCACTGCTCCGAGCGGGTGTGGTCGGACAGCTGCACGTTCCAGAAGCAGGGCAGCTGGTACACCAAGGCGGGGCTCTGCTTGATGACGGCGTTGAAGATGTCCTGGGGAGAGACCCCCCGGCAGGCTGTCAAACGGGCAGGTGTGTCCCACCCTCCCGGCCCCTGCCCAGTGAGGACTCCAGCCTCTGAGTTGGCTGCGCACAATGTCAGAGGGCCCCGCACCATCTCCCAGCCCCTACTGGGAGCCTGTCCCACCAGAACTGCACACAACCAGCTTTAAAGTCGCATGGTTGTGTGTGTGCTTGTGTGTGTGTTTGTATGTGTGTTTCTTGTGTATGTGTTTCCGTGTTTGTATGTTTGTGTGTGTCTGTGTGTGTGCTTGTGTGTGTGTTTGCATGTGTGTTTCTGTGTGTGTGTTTGTGTATGTTTGTGTGTGTTTGTGTGTATTTGTATGTCTGTTTCTGTGTTTGTATGTATGTTTGTGTGTGTGCGTGTATGTGTTTCTGTGTTTGTGTGTGTGTTTATGTGTGTTTGTGTGTGTTTGTATGTGTTTCTGTGTTTGTATGTTTGTGTGTGTTCGTGTGTGTTTGTATGTATGTTTCTGTGTGTTGTTTGTGTATGTTTTTGTGTGTGTTTCTGTGTGTTTGTATGTGTGCTTCTGTGTTTGTATGCTTGTGTGTGCTTCTGTGTGTGTTGTTTGTGTATGTCTGTGTGTGTGCTTGTGTGTGTGTTTGCATGTGTGTTTCTGTGTGTGTGTTTGTGTATGTTTGTGTGTGTTTGTGTGTATTTGTATGTCTGTTTCTGTGTTTGTATGTATGTTTGTGTGTGTGCGTGTATGTGTTTCTGTGTTTGTGTGTGTGTTTATGTGTGTTTGTGTGTGTTTGTATGTGTTTCTGTGTTTGTATGTTTGTGTGTGTTCGTGTGTGTTTGTATGTATGTTTCTGTGTGTTGTTTGTGTATGTTTTTGTGTGTGTTTCTGTGTGTTTGTATGTGTGCTTCTGTGTTTGTATGCTTGTGTGTGCTTCTGTGTGTGTTGTTTGTGTATGTTTTTGTGTGTGTTTCTGTGTGTTTGTGTGTGTTTGTATGTGTGTTTCTGTGTTTGTATGTATGTTTGTGTGTGTGCTTGTATGTGTTTCTGTGTTTGTGTGTGTTTGTGTGATTGTGTGTGTTTGTATGTGTATTTCTGTGTTTGTATGTTTGGTGTGTTCGTGTGGGTTTGTATGTATGTTTCTGTGTGTTGTTTGTATATGTTTTTGTGTGTGTTTCTGTGTGTTTCTGTGTGTTTGTATGTGTGCTTCTGTGTTTGTATGCTTGTGTGTGTTGTTTGTGCATGTGTTTGTGTGTGATTGTGTGTTTGTATGTGTGTTTCTGTGTTTGTATGTTTGTGTGTGTCTGCATGTGTGTTTCTGTGTGTGTGTTGTTTGTGTGTTTGTATGTGTGTTTCTGTGTTTGTGTATATGTTTCTGTGTCCTTGTGTGTGTGTTTCTGTGTGTGTTTGTGTGTGTGTGCTTTATGTGTGTTTCTGTTTGTGTTTACTTCTGGCTCATGCACTCCGGAATTACTCCAGGTGGTGCCCGGGGGGGACCCTATGGGATTCTGGGAATCGAACCCAGGTCAGCCTCGTGCAAGGCAAATGCCCTACCTGCTGTGCTATCGCTCCAGCCCCCATCATCTCATCTTGAAAAAGAAAATTTGTTTGGGGAAATATGGAATAATGACGAAGCTAAATAGGAACAAACCAGAGGGACAGACAGGGGTCGAGGTGTCTGCCTTGCCCATGGTCATTCTGGTTCAGTTTCTGACACCACACATGGTTCCCTGAACGCTAGGCCAGGGGTGAGCCTTGGGCAGTGCTGGGGGTAACTCCAAACCAAAACCAAGGTAAAGGTAAAGGTAAAGGCCCTCCCGTTGATCGTCGATTTGCTCGAGCGGGCCCAGTAACGTCTCCATTGGAGACTTTGTTGTTACTGTGTCTGGCATATCGAATACTCTCGGTAGCTTGCCGGGCTCTCCGAGAGGGGCGGAGGAATCGAACTCGGGTGGGCCATGTTGGCCGCTTGTAAGGCGAACGCCCTACCCGCTGTGCAACCAAAACCAAACTCAAACTAAATAAACAACCACGTTAGCTTATAGTTTCTTCTCGCCTCTGCAGTAGAAAACTTGGTAAGGATTCGACAAATCAGATAATAGAACACGGAGCACAGGAAGTAGAGAGAATGTGCTTGCCTTCCCCAGGATCATAAATGCAGAGACACAGAGAAATCAGATTGGGGTTTCAAGGCCGTCATTTCCTCCATGGGACACTCACAAACTAAACGGGCATCCCTGGCAGGCCTCAAGAGAAAGCGAAGAGAAAATGATCAAAGGAGAAAATGGAATTTGATGAGTTTCTGTTAAGGGTTCTGTGTCTTATCGTGGAGGGAGGGTGTAATGGTGATGGAACTGGTGTTGGTGTTGGAATACTGATTGCTTGTAACAGATCATCATGAACAACTTTGAAAACCACCGTGTTTATATAAGGGGGGAAAATCATATACTAGAGACACACAAAAGAATCTCGGAACCGAGCAGCTCACTGCAGAGATGCCTCTGGACTTGAAGCCAGGCCAGTTACACCAGGATGTCTCGACGGGGGCAGGTGGAACGAAAACACCTTCCACCTGCCCCCTAAAAGCCCTGGCAGCCACCAGCTTCCAGAACCCAATGAGAAGTGCAGGTAACGTGGGCTCAGTGACAGCAAACTCCAGGCCCCAACGGGTAAGGGATGAGTCGGTCCTTCTCCTCTCCTCATCCCCAAGGGACCTTAAAGGTCACGCCCACAAACTGCCTCCAGCTGCTATTTAAGCTCCTTTACAGTCATGAACCAGAGACATAAAAGAATCTCAGAACCGAGTAGCTCGCTGCAGAGATTTCTCCAGACTCTAATTATCTAAAGTTTTAGAATTCCAGGCTGCACGGCATCTTATGCTATTCATAACAAGCAATACAAAAGAGAGTATGGGGGAGATTGTCTGCGATAGAGGCAGGGGGAGGGGTGGCATGTGTGGGTGGGGATACTGGGGACCTTGGTGGTGGAAGATGTGCACTGGTGGAGGGATGGGTGTTTGATGATTTGTATGACTGAAACGCAAACAGGAAAGCTTTGTAACTGTATCTCACAGTGATTCAATTAAAAAAAATACGATTTAAAAAAAAGAGGAAAAAATCATATACTAAAAAAAAAAAATCGAGTGGCTGGAGTGATAGCACAGTGGGTACGGCATTTGCCTTGCACGTAGCTGACCCAGGTTCGATTCCCAGCATCCCACATGGTCCCCTGAGCACGGCCAGAGGTAGTTCCTGAGTGCAGAAGCAGGAGTAACTCCTGAGCATCACCAGGTGTGAGCCAAAAAGAAAACAAACAAGCAAACAAACAAAAAAGAGTTCTGTGTTTTTTTTCATGGACTTTCTCAGACCACCTGGATAAAGATGCTGATTTCTCCAGCCAGGTTTGTCACCTGTTGAAATGTATTTCCCTTGGGGTCAGGGGTCTCCCTGGGGTTATATTTGCACAAGTCCCCGGGTTGAATCAGTTCCTCTGGCCCCCAGAGGCCCTGAAGCGCAACCAGGTCCAAGCAGCATATCAGAACCAGGACTGAGCATCAAGGCTTCTGTCCAGGTTGTCTGGGTACCAGGGGACCCCTGCACTCTGCTTGGGAGTGACCCCCAAATGCAATGAGATGAGTTTCCCATGAGGTCTGAGCACAAAAGCTCAGCACAGAGCACTGCCTTATAACGGAATCTGCTTGCCGTGGAAGCTGGCCACTCACCTGGTCAGCCAAGGAGGTGGACAGCATTCCCATGAGCTCCCTCTCCGCCGTCAGCCTCCACATCTGCTCCCATTTCATCTTCCGCAGCTTGTCCAGAAGCAGCAGGATCACCCCTGGGTGACAGGAAAGGAGGAAAAAAAGATAACAGGCTTTAAAGATGTGGGTCCCCAGCTGGAAGGGGGAACCTGGTCTCAGGGGGACCTTATGGGGTGCCAAGGATGAAACCTGGGTCATACACATGTAAGGTAAGCGCCTTACCTGCTGACCTACTGCTCAGCCCCAAAAGGTAGAGCCCTGATATATATATATATATATATATATATATTTGCCATGCAGCTACCTGTGACATATTCAATATGCCAAACACAGTTACAAGTGTCACAATGGAGACATTACAGGGCCCGCTTGAGCAAATCGAGGACAGTGACAGTGACAATTATTTATTTATTTAAAAACTTTTTAAATTTATGTGAGACCACTCTCCACATGCTTGGACAAGGAACCGGCAGAGGAACCCAGGTATGCGGGACCTGGGGCTGAGATCTCCAAGCCTGCTCAGTTCGGGACTGGGCCTCCTCCATCCAGCACCCCCACCTTCCAGTAGCTAGATAGTTACACCCACCAACTGCCGTGTAACCCCATCAACGGCCATCCAGAGACTATAAAATCAAGCTCCCGGAGGCACGTGGCCGCATTTGTGGCTGCACGACCTCTTATTCTCTAGTTCTCACTCTCTGAGAACCCGGCAGGCTGCTGAGAATATCATATCCGCCTATATGCCTGACTAGAAACACCTGTAAAGGTGATTAGAGGCCGCCCCAAAAGCCTCCATTCATCTCGGAGAGCCCGGCAAGCTACTGAGAGTATCCCGCCCGCACGGCAGAGACGGACAAGCTACCCGTGGTGTACTCGATATGTCAAATACAGTAACAATGAATGGTGCTTATTCCCCTGAAGGAGACCTCAATATGTCATCGGGCTACACTTGCACTTGACAGGGACAAATGGAGATGTTACTGGGCCAGCTCGAGTTAACTGAAGAACAACAGGGTGATAGTGATGGTGAATTGTTTTAATGAATCGCCATGAGATACAGTTACAAACTTTCATGCTGACGTTTCAGTCATACAATGACCAAGTACCCATCCCTCCACCAGTGCCCATTCTCCACCACCAATGTCCTCAGCATCCCTCCCGCCACCTCTTCCATCCCGTCCCCCACCCCCACTTCTGTGGCAGGCACTTTCCCTTGGAACCCTGATTTTTTTCTTCTTCCCAAATAACCCTCTCTTCACCTTCAGAAACCCCAGGAGTAAACCTTCCCCTGCTTATGTGCCATCAAAGACAATGAACAATGATCATCATAAAAGACTCAGCAGAGCTCTCCGTGGACACTCACTGTGGGTCCCATCTCAATGCCTCCTTTTGACCTGGGGAAAAGCTGGGTTCAGATAAAGCTTGGTTCTCATGCGATGTACTGCCTTGAGGGATTTCTATCACCATGGAGCATGAGGGTGCTGCCTGGATCCCTGGAACTGAGCCAGCACACTGGTCCCCATGCTTGGGGCTCAAACACCACTGGTGTCCCATCGCAGAATCTGCCAGTCTCGAAACACCCTCACATTGGAAGCAGCCTGGGTTGGGGGGAGGGGACATTAACACTCTGTATTGGTGCTGGGACACACCCCCAGTGCCTCACACTTGGATGTGGTTTAACGAGCACAGCTTCTAGCGTCAGGGTCAATGTGCTAATACTGACCTCAGAGGTGGGCAAGAGGGCACTGTTTGCAGCTGGACAGTGTGGACCACTGGTACCTCAGCGTGAATGTCCTGAGATGCCCACAGAAGGGTGGTGAAAGGGTGTAGGTTGGGATGTTTCTTTGGTGCTGGGATCATGTTATTTGCCAAAAAGTTTTAGGTTTGGGGACAGAGAGATAGCTCAGCAGATAGGGCATTTGCCATGTTCATGGCTGACCCAGGTTCAATCCCTGGCATCCCTGTGCACTGCTGGAATAATTCCTGATTGAAGAGCCAAGAGTAACCCCTGAGCATCGCTGGGTGTGGCTCCAAAACAAAACGTTTGCTTTGGGGTGTTGGGGAGGGCACGCCTAACAAAAACAGGAGTAAGAGGCCAAAGAGATAGTCCAGCGGGGAGGGCATTTGCTTTGCACACGGCAGACCTGGGTTCGATCCCCGGCATCCCATATGGTCCCCCAAGCACTGCCAGGAGTAATTCCTGAGTACAGAGCCAGGAGTAAGCCCTGAGCATCATTGGATGTGACCCAAAAAGCAAAAACAAAACAAAACAGGAGTAATCCAGGTCTGACTCCTGGCTCTGTGCTCAGGGAATCACTCCTGGAGGGGCTCAGGGGATCATATGGGGTGCCAGGGATTGGACCTAGATCAGCTGCATGCAAGGCAAGTGTTCTACTGCTGTGCTATCTCTCTGCTCTTCCCCGTCTCCCCCCCCCCCCAGATTTCTTTTAAATAAAAATGTACAAAAAAAGCCCAGCACCGCACCTGTCACAGTCTATTCCTGGGACTCCTTTGGTCTCTTTTGTCCCCCAAGATGTGAGCAGGTGGCGCTGATGGATGGTCCTTGTACATGGTATATTGTTCATCTTCACAGACAGGAAGTAGGTCCTTTTGGACTCTGAGTTGCCTGAGTCTATTCCCATCTGCTCTCCTCCTACAGATGGGCTCTGTGCTCCTTCCAGGAGCTCCTTTCTGGGTTCCAGGGGGCAATAGTCACCACTGGTATACCACAAAAGCACTGTAATTACAGTCAAGGTGTGTAGATACACATCCGTAAGAGGTGTGCCAACAGCCCCTGATGCTTAAGAAGCTACAAACAGGAGGGTATTCCCTTCTCCTCCCAACTGTCTGGGTATTTTTTTTGAGGGGGATGGGGGAGGTGAGGGGCACACTCTGTGATATTTAGGGGTTACTCCTGGCTCTGCACTCAGGAATTACTCCTGGTGCTGCTCAGGGGAACCACATGGGATGCTGGGGATTGAACTCGGGTTGGCTGCATGCAAGGCAAACTGATAGTACTTGCTGTACTCTCTCCAGTCCCTCAACTGTTTTAATATTCTTTTGTTTGTTTGTTTGTTTTCAAAGGAAGGGCACACCCAGTGGTACTTAGGGCTTACTCCTGGCTTTGTGCTCAGCCATCACTCCCAGGAATGCTAGGGATTAAACCAGGGTTGGTAAGGCAAGTTCCCTACCCACTATACTACTATCTGGTCCTTAAGACTATTGGTTGTTGTTTTATTGTGTTTTCTTTTTTGGCCTTTTGGGTCACACCCAGTGATGCTCAGGGTATATTCCTGGCTCTGCACTCAGGAATCACTCCTGGTGGTACATGGGGGACCATATGGGATGTCAGGAACTGAAACCGGGTTTGCCGCGTGCAAAGCAAACACCCTACCCACGGTACTATCACTCCAAGATTCATTTTTCAAGGGGAGGGTCCTGGGTGAGTGAGAGGATGGCAGACGGGTGCCGTCACGGGAGACATACTTGCCTTAACCAATGTGGAAACAATAAAATGTATGAGGCAAGGCAGATAAACGACCGGACAGGAAGGGAGGTACATCCGAATGGAACTGGATGGCGTGGAAGGATCTGTCCCCTGCCAGCTCAGTCAGGATATGCTGAGAGAAGCAGAGAGCTGCGAGAATTCCCCCACAGGTCAGGGCAGTTTATTCAGCGGACAGAATTGTAACACCCATTGGCTAATCCATCAATCCTACTGTTGTTGCTGAGCTCAGCAGAACGCTCAGTGGAGAAAACTCCAGGCAATTGAAAAATGATCTCTGCTGATCCCCAGTCTCTACGTTTCGAAGAGAGTTGAAAAGACACGGGTTCCCCAGGTCATGCCAGCTCTTGGATGTTTTACTGAGTCCACTGGGAGATAAAAGCTTATTCACCACCTAGTGAAAGCCTTGTTTGGCCACAGGAGAATTAAAATAAAGACTCTGATTATGGGAAAACAGGATCAAACACAGTTCTGGATTGAGCCAAAGAGGGTTGGAAAGAGCTTCACAAATGTGAGAGGCCTGGATTTGATCCCTGGCATTGCCTGCCTGGCCCTCGAGTGAAGAAAAATTTCATCAAGTCTTACTGAAGAAACCAATTCTGTTTTTGGGGGGTTTTGTTCATTTGTTTGTTTTGTTTTGGGACCATGCCCGATGATGCTTAGGGGTTCCTCCTGGCTCTGCACTCAGGGAGTTACTCATGGCAGTGCTCAGGAGGACCATAGGGGTTCTGGGGATTGAACTTGGGTCAGCAGCATGCAAGGCAAGTTCCCTAATGTGCCGTACTATCTCTCTGGCTCCGAAGAAAGTCAATTCTAACGAGGTTGGATAGTGGCTCCGACGTACAGAAAATGTGGTGGTGATGGAAGGTACAGGCAGTGAACAAGGGGAGTGATGCTTATTTGGAAGGTCAGTGTTAGAGCTACCGGTCCCTGGAAATGGAGATAAGGAAAGATCCTTTTGGATGATTGAAGACTTGGCCAGTCCTGAGTGGCAGAAGGGAGCCTGGACTTGCCAAACTAGCTGGCCAGCTGAAGAGGGGCTATGTAGGACATAAGACCAAATGCAGAGATGCACTATCATTTCCTGACCCCAAGGCTTTTCTTCTGTGTAATTGTTTTTTGGGGTGGGGAGGGAATCTCGAGCAGGGTGCTGGGGCCCCGTGCCGGCAGGGGGATGTCCAGCCTCCCAACCCCCACCCCGGCAGTGACAAGGACCTCCAGGGTGGTACCCAGTGATGACTGGATTCTATTCATTGAGGTCAAGTTCTATTGGCTCCCTTCCAATGATCTCTTTCATAATTGATATCAAAAAATATCTCTGTTATGTCATATTCATTGGATTTTTAATTTTCTTTTTTCTTTGCTGGTTTTGGGGCCAACCTGGCCATGCTCAGGGGCCGCTCTCAATGCAGTGCTTGGGACTGAACCTCAGGTTGCTGTGGGCGGAGTCCGTGCTCAGTGTTCTGAGCCCTGATCTCCTCTGCCGTAGGTCGGAATGATTATTTATTTAAAATTTAATTTTATTCTGATAAAGTTTACAATATTTGATTACATTTCATGTTCAAACACCCA